CTGTGCGCAGCTACACCGCTGCGAGCCTGCGCGCAGAGCGCGCCGCCCGCAGCAGATCCACCGCTCGCGAGCGGCGGATAGCCCCTGGAGCCAGAGCGCGCGCCGCCGCAGAGCCCGGCGTCGCGCCGCGCTCCGGTCCAGGCCCCACCAGCGCCCGCGCGGACCGCGCGCGGCGCAGCGGCGAGGACACCAGCACCCCGCCTTCCTACAATGCCGCCGCGGACCCGCGCGGGCGCGGCCGGCGGCGGCGACGGCGACGACGAGCCGACGCTCCTCAGCATCGTCGAGCTGAACAAGCTCTTCAAAGACGTCGTCATCTTCACGCCGCAGAGCGGCGTCCATGACGCGAACAAGGCCCTCTTCAGGGCCTGGACGCGGTCGATCATGCTCCACGCGCCCGTGCTCGAAATCGTCGGACGGCACGCCAAGGCCGACTTCGGAGACATCTACGACGGCGAGTGGGCCAAGATCGACCAGTCCGAGCGGCCGCAGGCCGAGCACATGCTCGCCTACTTCCTCAAAACGAAGACCGCGGCCACGGCCGCGAGCCTCGTCCGCAGCCTCGCCAGCAAGGGCGCCGACGCCAAGGAGATGTTCGTGAAGCTCGCCAAGATGTACGGCACCTACAACGACCAGGGCGTCAGCATCCGCAAGCAGCTCGCGGCGCTCAGCATGCACACGCTCGGCGGGCCGACCGAGCTCCAGCTCGAGCTCGACGACCTGTCGCAGCTGTACGAGGACACGTGCGGCCACACCCTGCCCGAGGGACAGGTGCGCCAGTACTTCCTCGACGGCATGGACCCGCGCGGCGGCCGCAGTCACCCGGACCTGACCGCCGCGCACGACATCTACGTCGCCCACGGAACGTCGGTCGACGAGATGGTCGAGGCCGTCACCAAGGCCATCGAGGCGCGCGCCAACACGCCGAACCCGCTCACCTTCGGCAAGGCGCCCGGCGACATCGGCGGCATCGCGGCCGCGGCCGCGGCCGCGCCGTCGCCCGCGCCGCCGCCCGCCAAGCCGCCCGAATGGACGGCGGCGACGAGCAAGGGCAAGCCGAAGTGCCCCGCGTGCAACGGCACGGGGGTGCAGATCACCGCCAACGGCCAGCCCGTCCTGTTCTGTTTGATCCACAAGCAGTGCTCCCACTCCACGGATCAATGCCATATAATGGCCAAGCTCGCTCGCGACTGGAACGACACCGACACCGGCCGCGGAAAGGGCCGAGGCCGCGGCCGCGGCCGCGGCAGCAAGGGCCGCGGCGCCGGCGGCTCCCTCGCCGAGGCGTCCCGCGCCCTCGTGGCTTCGGTCGCCGCGTCGCTCCAGGGCGACGGCACCGCGCTGCCCGACGACCGCTCGGCGCTCACCGACGACCGTTCGATCGGCGACTACAGCCGGGCCTACGCGGCCGTCGCGGACTGCCTCGCCAACGCCGCCCGCGCGAGCGGCCCCGCGGAGCTCAGCGCCGACGAGGCGCACGCGCTCGCGGCGTGCGGCAGCCTCCCGCCGTGCCCCGAGGGGTTCGAGCTCAGCTTCATCGACGGCGGATCGATGGCCCACGCGCTCAAGACCGCGAAGCACGGCCCGCGGCGCGAGCCGTCGACGCACTGGGCCTCTCCCACAGCCCTGCGCGACGGCGGAGACCGCGCCCACGCCAACCACGGCGTCTACAGCTCCGACTTGGTCACGCCCGACGGCACGCGCATCCCGGTCGAACGCGACAACCACTTCCCGACCTTCGCCGTCTCCATCTTCAGCGAGGGCCAGCTCGAGGAGCAGGGCTACCGGTTCCACACGACGGAGTCCGCCCGGGGCCTCTCCAAGTTCATGATCACGCCCGCGGGCGACGAGGTCAAGCTCATGACCTGGCGGAACCTCAAGATGGTCTACGTCCGGGCCGTCGCGCCCCAGCCGGCGCCCGAGGGCCTCAGCGCCGCGGCCGTCTCCGAGCCGCCCTGGCCCGAACCACAGCCGCGCGTCGAGGCCATGGAGATCTTCGCCGGGTCCGGGTCCATGTCGCGCGCGCTGCGGGACGGCGGCGTCTCCATCGTCGCCACCTGCGAGAACGACCCGCGCAAGGCGGGCGCCCTCGCGAACAACCTCCCCAACGTCCACAACTACGGCGACATCCACGACGACTCCATCGTGGGCCACGTCTGGAACCCGCGGAGCGTCAGCGCCATCGCCGCCGGCGTCGAATGCCAGGACTACAGCAAGGCCGGCGCCCGGCGCGGCCTCGGAGGGCCCAAACGCCGCACGCTCGAACGCTTCGCGCACGTCGTGCGCTGCATCGGCCCGCACCTGCTGCTCGTCGAGAACGTGTGGCCGTTCGTCGTCATGCTCGGCCTGGCCTACCTCGTGTCGCTCCTCTCCGCCCCCAGGCGGAACGGCGAGTCGCGATACATCCTGCGGCTCCCCACCGGCGTCGAGGAGGCGGAGCTCAGCAAGAGCTCGCTGCACGGCCCGGTCTACCGCGACCGCATGCTCGCGTACTTCGAGCGCGACGACGTCTCACCGCTGCTGCCGCCCCCCGCGCCGCTCATCGCGCCCAAGATCGCGGAGCGACGGACGCTCGTCTCGTGCCTGCGGGCCGCGGACGAGGTCCCCGACGACGCGTTCTGGGAAGGACGCTTCGAGCGCCTCTCCACGCCGCGCCGCGCCTACAGCGGGCGCGAGGACAGCCCGCTGGTCGTCGCTCGCCTCCACTACGACCCGGAGTCGGCCGTGCGCGAGGGGTCCGTCGTCAGACTCCGCGGCGACGGCCGGCGCTGGGTCGTGCTCACCGCCGACGTGACACTGCACGTCATCGCCTACGACCGGCGCCACCCGACGCAACGCCGCGGCGTGCCCCGCGAGCGCGTCTCCGAGCACGTCCACTACGCCTACGACGTCTTCGACACGACCAAGCTCCTGTCGCCGCGCAAGGACGGCCAGCCGCCGTACGGAGGCACCATGCTCCTCGAGCGGCCGTCCCACCCGGGACGCGCGTCCCGCGTGCTCCCCGACGAGGCGGCCCGCGCCATGGGCATCGACATCACGGGCATCGCCGAGCACGACGTCCAGTACGTCGTCGGCGACGGCGTCACGGACGTCTACAAGATGCAGGCCGCGGCCCGCATCATGGAGCGCGCGACGATGCTACACAAGGTCCTCCACGAACGGTCCCACGCGGCGTCGGTCGCCGCGCCGCTCCTGGCGGCCCCCGCGTCCCCGCCGCTGCGGCACCCCACGGCCGGGCCAAACGCGCCGCCGCTGATGGCGCGCGGCCTCGGCCGGGAAGCGAACGTCGTCCACGCTGCGATTGGGCACCCGGCCCAGGACCGCTTCCGCGACACGGTCAAGGGGCTGCGCATCAAAGTCGACGGTACCGTCGACTGCGCCGTCTGCAAGATCTCTCGCATGGTCAAGAGCGGGTCCGCGCGCAAGTCGCGGACCCAGAACCCGCCGGCGGTTCGGCGGCCACCGCCGCCGCCTCATCCGCCCCCGGCACCTCCGGGCGGCCAGCCCGCGAAGCAGCGGCCGCCGACGCTGCGCCTCGACCTCTTCGGAGCCCACAGCGACATCCCGTCGCGCACGCGGTCCCAGTACTTTCTCACGGCCACGCTCAACACGAACCCGCCCCACCGCGTCGGCGTCGGCCTCCGCCTCAAGAGCGAGGCCGTCGGCGAGCCCGGCGGCTTCTCCGGCCTCCGCATGATCTACAACGCGTACGCCGCGAAGGGCATCCGCGTGCGCATCGTCGAGCACGACGACGGCGGCGAGTTCGTGGGCAACAAGGCCAGCGCGCTCTACGCGCAGCTCGGCGTCGCGAGCCGGCCCAGACCCTCGGAGCGCCACTGCGAGGCCGCAGAGCGCACGAACCGGGCCGTCTACGGCCTCACACGGGCAATGATGCACGCGGGCTCCGTCCCGGACAACCTCTGGGAGGACGCCGCGTGCCACGCCGTCGATTGTTTGAATCTGCACTTTCACGGCGACATCAACGCCCACTACGCGGCCTTCCAGGAGGACGTCGACCTGTCGACGTTCTACCCCTTCTACGCGCACGTCGCGTTCTTCGACATGCACCGGTCCGAGCGCTTCCGCACTTCCGGAGCCCTCGGCCGGTACCTCGGCGCGGCGCGAAACTACGGCTTCGGCGCCATCCGCGTCCAGGTCGGACGTCACGTCCGAATCGTGTCGAGCCACCACTACGTGGCCGCGCCCGACGTCGAGCTCGACGTCGCCCGCATGGCGCCCATGATTCCGCCGCCGCTCCCGCCGACCCACGCGGCGCCGCACTTCAGCTACCTGCCGCTGGACACCCTGCCGAACTCGCAGCCCGACACGGACGGCGGCGACCACACGGCGCCCGCAGCCGACGAAGCCGCGGCTCCGGGGGAGCTGCGCTCTCCGCTCGCGGGGGAGCACGGCCCCGCGCTCGCGGGGGAGCCCGCCGACGGCAGTCCGCCTCCGGGGGAGCCGCCCGACGACGAGCCCCCGCGGCGAAGCCGCAAACGCCGCACGCACCTCGACATGGGCAGCGACATCGGCGCGTCGCACCGGAACTGGCGCGACTCCGCCGCCTCAAGCGCCGTGGCCGGTCGCGTCAGCGGCCTCGCGCTCCTCCCGGTGATGGCGCTCGCCCTCATCGCGTCAGCCGGGCACGTCCCTGCACGCTGCGGCGTGCACACTCTCATTCCCCGGCCTGGCTTCGCAGTCCCCGCTCCGCCTTTCCGGCCGCGGCGGGGGAGCAGAGGAGCCAGGATACGCCTAGGATACCCGTAACGCAGTCTCACTCTGATCTGGCGGACCCGGGGGCCGCGGCGCCTCCCGTGGCGGCGGTCGTCGGCGCGCCGCCCGCGTACGGCGGCGCGGCGCCGCCCGCGTACGCGGCGCCGCCGGCCGCGTACGCGGCGCCGCCGCCGCCCGCGGGGAGCGTCGTCGGCATCCAGGCGAACGGCGCGCGGTCGGACATCTCGGGCGTGACGGTCGTCTCGGACCAGACGGCGCCCTTCGGCTACGACGTCCTCGGCGACACCTACGGCATCGTCGCGAAGACGCTGCACCCGGGCGAGACGTTCCACTCGGAGCCCGGCGCCATGGTCTTCATGTCCAACGACGTCAGGATGAGCGCGAAGTTCGGCCGCGGCTTCCGCGGCGCCGTCTCCCAGGCGGTGTCGGGCGAGGCGCTGGCCAAGGTCGAATACACGAACGCGGGCGCGGGGCCGGGCTACGTCGGCATGACGGCGAACCAGCCCTTCTCCACGGTCATCCCCGTGCAGCTCGCGGCGCTGCCCGGCGGCTCGATCAACGTCAAGCGCGGGGCCTACATGGCCGGCACGCCCGACGTCACGGCCTCGATGAAGTTCCTGCCCGCGCGCGACCTCGCGGCCTGCTGCTGCGGCGGCCTGCCGCCCGTCATCCAGAGCGTGTCGGGCGCGCCGCACGGGACGGCCTTCCTCTCCGCCGCGGGCACGATCGTCGCCAAGAGCCTCCAGCCGGGCGAGGCCGTCGTCGTCGACTCGACGTCCATCGTCGGCTTCGAGAACGACGTCCAGTTCGACGTGAAGCGGGTCGGCGACTGCTCCACCTGCTGCCTCGGGGGCGAGGGCTGCTACAACACGGTCCTCACGGGGCCGGGCAATGTCTATTTGCAGTCCATCAGCATCGACAAGCTCATGGCCCAGCTCGTCACGGTCCAGTCGAGCGACGACGGCGGCGGCGGCGGCGACGGCGCGCCCGCGACGACCGAGGTCATGGTGCGGTGAGGGGGCGTCGTTCGAATACCTAACTAACTAAGATCGAGTCGGCCCTGATGAACAGCGATCCAAGGATGCTGCGGTGAGGGGGCGAATGATAAGTTCCCGATCGGGTCGGGCCTCCCAGTGCCAGTGGAGATCGGCGAACCGGTCCCCGACCAAGGCTTTGAACGGAGCTGCGCGCCATCCCCTTGACCTAGCGCGTCTGACGTCTACAATAGTACCCGTCGTCATCGATCGGACGAACCATGTGCGAGAACGGGCTCGAGGCGTGCATTGCGGGCGATATCCTCGACGAGGTCGCGAAGTACCTCGACGACGGCGACTTGGTGTCGTCCTTGGCCCCGGCGTCTCGGACGCTCGCGACGGCAGTGGACCACTGCGCGGCGAGGCGCTGCCGCGCCCTGTGGAGCACGAGCGCCGAGATCGAGGCGCGCGGCGTGAGGCTCGGCTCGGCTTTCCTCGCGCGCCGGTCGCGCCCGGTGCTGAAGACCCACGGCCCAATGGAAATGCGTCTCCCGCTGGCGTCACGATTACCGCAGCAAATCTATGAAGATTCGGACTCGGACTCGGACGAGGTCGAGGACCGGTACTTGTTGATCGATGTCAATGTGAAAACACGTGCCGGCGTTATCGTCGGCCGTCGAAGCGTGATGATGGACTGTGGGTTACATGTAAAGAACCAGGAGTTGCACTTCGATGCTAGCGGTGAATTTCGTTTCGATGCGCCACTCACGATTGCGGAGAACTTAAAGCCGTGGAATTTTTATGCTCGGTATAGCAACATTGATGATAACATCGAGAGCGGCTGGTATTGCGAGATGGGTAATATTGTGGGCAGCAAAAATTGCGTGCATGGGAATTCGACTTATGGTTTTAACCTGGTCAACCACAACTTCCCCGATGAGCTGATGGCGGCCGGACTTATCGACCGGTATCGTCGGTCGCAGCTGCCATCGAGTCGTGTCGTCGTCTCGGTCCGCGTCGATCTGTTCCGCAAGGACGGTGAGTCCATGTGTCTCTTCGACGGCCCGGTTGGCATCCCAGGGCACGACGACTGGCCCGAGCAAGGCAATTGGGACTACATGGACGATACCGCGGCGGACTTGAAAAGAATCGGTATTCCGCTGGAAGCAGCCGACACAGATATCAACAGCAATTTGCTTCCACCCGGTGACTTCGAGCCGTCGGGCGATTGGTTCAGAAAGTACAAAGCGGCGGACACCTTACATTGCTCGCCCGTGGTGTTTGCGAAATATCCCGAGGGAGATCGCGGAGCATTCGAGCTCGTCGCAGTCCGCCTCGGTTTCAATACCGAACGGGCGAGCCTGGATGAGGAGCACCTCACATCTATCGGCTCGCCGCACATGGGCGGCAAGGTTGTCCAGGGGCTCTACGCGCTCGACGCGTGGTCGTGAGTAAATCGTCGTCGGACGACGACGAAGAGTCGCACGCCGTCGAGAGCCGTCGACTCGGATCCTAGGATGTTACGTCCGCCGCGGCGAGACTAGACGCCCTTGCGATCCATGGGCGCCGCGGCCGCCGCCGCCGCGGCGACGACGGGGAGGCCGCGGCGGCGGACGTCGTCGGGCGACAGGGCCACGCCTTCGATGAGGACGTCGTCGTCCGCCGCCGACGGCGCGCCGCCGAACGCCGCGCCGCCCTGCGACATGACGTTGCCGGCGCCGCCGCCGTTCTGGAGCGCCCAGATCTCGGCGAACTGCTTAAACTTGCCGTGGGAGTAGGACTGGAGGAAGACGAGCCCCGGCCCCTCGAGCGTCGTGTTGAACATGCCTACCAAGCATGTCGGTAACGATTTCTCTTCGTTTTCCCGGTCAAATCTCTCGAAAATCGTCACCGCCACAGGACGCTGGAACGTGCCCTCGCCCGCACAGCAGCACGTGAAGAAGGACCCCGTGCGCCGCACGGCGAACTTCACGGAGTCCTCCCACGCGACGACGGACGTCGTGTCCACCTGCAGCGTCTCGCCCGCGGCCAGCGTCTTCGTCGTGATGACGCCCATCGCGCCCATGAACGCCATGCCGTCGCCCTTGATGACCTGGCGGATCAGGCCCTGGCCGCCGCAGCAGCACGTCAGGGGGTTCGTGTCGACGTCGTACGAGACCGTGACGTCGCCGATGGACGCAAAGTACGCGCGGTCCTTAGTGAAGGTCAGGCATCAGAGACCCAGAGACTAGAGACCTGGGCATCGAGCATCAGACCTGGGTTTCAGACTAAGAGAGACCTGGGATTGAAACCCAGGCCCTCGAATTACGAAAAAAACCTAGAAGTCGCCCAGGGCGTGGTCCAGGTCGCCGGCGGTGGGCCACAGGTGGACCACAATCACCTCCATCACCTTCAGCAGCAGCAGCAGCAGCAGCAGCGTCGTCGTCGTCGTCGCCGCCGCCGCCGCCGCCGCCGCCGCCGCCGCCGCCGCCGCCGCCGCGCGCGCGCGCGCGCGGGCATTCGAACCTACAATCAGACACAGAACGGCATAGGGAAGGCCATTTTAGCTCAGTGGG